ATTTTTCTTGAAAACAAATCTGATTGATCTCGTTACAAACGTAGATCTTCTGATATTGTGTTATTTTCATGATGCTGAATTGTGCAGAATAAACATTAATACATCTTGTTTTATTATGTCGTCATAGTTTTGTCATACTTTTAAAACATATTGGGTTCAAATGTATCAATATATTCCATGCAGTATCAAGGGGAGATTTGGCGCGTTACAAATTTATGGTATTTTGAATTTCGCCTCTGAAAAATTATTTTCCAAATTTAATACCAAGTAAGTTTAGATTTGTTTGTTTAGTTTTGATGAAATCTTCCGTTTGTTCAAAAAAAATTAGAAACGGAAAATTTGATTCTGGGGAAGAGGCGTCAGACCACCTTTCGAAATGTGTCCGTATGGATTGTTATCCCCCAAATAAAAGAAGTTACAATTATTGAGTTGTTAATCTGAAAACAATTGTACTTGTGGGGGAAGAAAATGGGGCGGTGAATATTTTATGCACATGGTTGATAAAGGTGTATAATGTAGAGGTGTAGAGGTGTTGTGGTCGAGTGGATACGTCGCCGGACTGTCGATCACAAGGTCCGCGGTTCGAGTCCCGCTGCCTCACTAATGTCCTTTGGCAAGACATTGATCTACATTTGCCACACTCCACCCAAGGCAGGTGAAGTAAATGGGTACCTGGTAGGAATTTATTCCTTGAAATGCTAGAGCGCCGTATGGCAGCCATGCTATAGCCAGGGTAATAATCGGGAGCGCCAGGAGGGTCAAATCTGACTGACATGAGCGCTATACAAGAACCCACTACTACTATTATTATTATTATTATTATTATTATTATTATTATTATTATTATTAATACTGTATTTTTAAAAAAGGCGCATACTGAATGATAAATGGCGAATAATACCAAGCAAAGAAAAAAAAACGTTGACCACACTGCCAACTGTGCCGTATAAAGTGTTAAAAATTGAGCAATATGACAGATATTTAATAGCGCATGGTGTGCTGTAAAACTTATATATTTGATAAGAAATATTGTGTTGTTTCTGTAAATTGATGGCTTCTCTTCCAATTTCTGCCGTACTTTGATCTAGACAACTTTCCTGCTTCTTTCCAAGCAACTTTCTCTATTCTATCGAGTATGGTAACATGTGAATGTTCTTTGTGTAATCGCTCGAACATCAAACGTGATAATAATATAAAACTTATTTGTGTGAAATATCGTGCCCTTTGGAAAAGTGTTTCGTGACTTTGTGTATCCTGTCAATGGAATATATTCTGTTGTACACTGCTTGGAACAAGTGTTGTGTGTAAAAGTGATCGGGAAGTGAATTATAGTCGATTATTTGTGTAATTGTAGTCAATATTATGATAAATTTTGATAATGAAAATTAGTGTAATAAGGTAATTGTGTAAGTGCTTGAGTTATATAAAAGTGCTCACGGTGAAAAGGATCAGCTGTGAATAAATTTTACATCGAGAAATGATTTGTGTGTGTGAGATTGCGTCTGTTGGTAAAATATTCTGCTAAGATATCCCAGTTAACTGACACTTCCCTGGATATCCTGCAACCGACAAAACCTCAATGACATAGATACAACACTCAGTAGAAATACAAATAGACTGTCGCTATATTTATGTATAATACATTATCGTAAAAAGTACTTTCATATATTATGCCAAAAAGTATTTATCAAAATGACAGGCTTAGGCTGTTATTTCATTATCATAATAATTTATGAGAAATGAAATATGAATCAATGTTTACATTTGAAGTGATATATAATTATTTATATAACTGGAATTTCAATGTTCTATATTCTCGAGTAATATGTGTTTAAAGCTATGAATCCTGCTATACATGTAGATTGAACAGATCTCTATTAAAGTATTTTGAAACTGACACTGTATACTTCTCATCGATTTGTAGTCTGTTTGGGATGTGGCGTTTATATTATGATTGCAACAAAAATTGGATTAAACCCCATTTTAGTTAAATATGTCGATGACGGGGCAAAAATTAAAAAGAATCAAAAATGAAATGTGCTCCAGGATACGAATAAGCTAGTTCATATATGCAGTCTACGCATGAGCAGACAAATTTCATTCGTACTTAATTTGTAAAACGTTTTTATGAAAGGTATACACCAGCATGCATTACATGATACACTGGTGTGTTATTCTCAAAAGGGGGGAAATTATTCATGAAGGCATTTCCATCACTTTGGGGCACTTTGGGCGTGAGTTTCCAAAACCAAGCACACAATGGCACCTCCTTATGTTTGAGTTTAAATATATGTGGAATCATGCCGTCATTTCGTGTCGTACTGCTAACTACGAACTTGTATCTTTGCATGAATAGCGTCTTCCAATGGAACAGGACAGCCAAATGAGAAAACAAAATTTAAGCCGGAGGTCCCGAGCACATTAACATATGGTCCCAGGTATGCATAATGTATGTTGCGAATTTTCAGTGAATGTGAGTGACTTCTGGTAATTTGTCATAAGGTGTGTCTATATTTTGCTGATTTCCAGCAAGACCGTGAAATACACTTCATAAATAAAAAATGACACTGACATATAAAAAACAATTTTCACAAACTAATATAAGCATAACAAAACGTTCAAGAATGTCGTTGGGTCAAAATTTGGGTAACAATTAGAGAAGTACAACAAAACAACAATGGGTAAAACAAAGTTTGGATGCTCTTCTTAACTTTTTTACAAAATATATTTTTGCACATATAAACATTCAAAAATAAAAGGGGTGATTGGGTCATAATTAGGTTAATAACAAAATTAACAACAGAATAAACAAGACATATGAAAAGAGGTGGTGGTCATTTCAAACAAACATAACATTGGACATAAACATTTATAAACATTTAAATGGCTCAAAATATGGACAATTACAACAGAGGTATCATGTTCTTTGATTATGCTGTCTTTCCAACACACCCCTTTATTTTTCACTCTCCCCCTTTTCACCTGTCGATGGTGGGCAACATTACTGACCAGAAGTACAGAACCCATCAACCATAACTACCATGATGCCTGGGCATTTGGGGATACAGATTCCTATACTTTGATGTTGAATCATTTGTTTAATTTTTTAAATTTTGTATATCTTCCTATTTATTTTCATCTCATTCTCTCTTCCTTTCTCCTTATTTTCCCAGTAATTCCCTTCATCAGAGGTAAGTCCATGGTTGTAGAAGAGCTATGTTCTTGTTTACCTCTATTAAAGCCCCATCGCACTAGTTTGGCCAGGAGGGATTAGACCTCCCTGCATGGTCACTGACAGGTGGTTATCTTACTGATCAAATAAGCTCTCAATTAACATAAGAAAAAGAGGATCATGGTGGACCAATGGTCACCGATTAGACATTGTTTGCTATATAGAGGGCGGAAGTTGCTATAAGTAGTGCAGTGGGCCTATAACTGGACCATGCAATACAGTTACACTGAGGTACCTCCGCACTCCCTGAAAGACACGCTCAATGTCATGCTTTTTTTCCACCCGCTGATGGGCAGACACGGATGAGCAAAGATAGTCTTTACCTTTCAGTCGTTATTTAGATGTGTGGATAGTAGGATTCATTCATACATGTACAATTTCACTCTGGACACATTGCCAGAGTTTGATGTTTGGGGGGGGGGGGGCACATACATGTATCGATCGAGGTAAAAAAAAAAAAAGGGGGGTCTAAAAAAGTTCAACCGATCTTGGAAATTTTTTGCCCCCCTTGGCTACGTGACTGACACATTGAACCCTAAAGTAAGGGATATGCTGAAAAATCGCAATTAATATTATCGGGATAAACATTTTAATGGACGGATGTCGTCATGATCTTTTTTTTTTTAAGTTTCAGTTGTAGGGAGGTGGGGGGGGGGTGCGATGAGCTGTGACTCAGCGGTTTTTTATTTTAACACTACTTGGGACAACTGTCATAACTAATGACTGGCTGAAATACAGGCCGATCAACCGTAGCCTATCAACAACAAATAGGACAATGAAAATTGCCTTGTAATATCTTTTTATGGGATTTGACCATGAAGTTTGTTTTGTATTGTTGTGTAGTCTTTGTCGAAGCGTTCAAGTAATGCACAGTCATCTTTACAGGTGTAAATGCAAGTTATTCAAATGATGTAAAACATTTGTTACATTATCATAATGAAAGTTACTCTAACCATGGACCTACTACTTCGTAGGTCCATGCTCTAACATTGCCCTTTTCTGAATACGAAATATATTCCTGTGATTAATTGACATTAATTGCTCGTTTTCTCTTTTTATTAATTAAAGACTATTATAAAATGAACTACCCTACTCACAAGCATAGCTTTTACCGTAGGCCCCTCTGTATTTACTCTTCCTCTTTTTTGTTAGTTCAGTCTTTTATTTAAAATAACAGAATTCGAACATTGTTGATATGAGGGACTCACTTTCTGTTTTGTCTCTGTTAATACAATCCATGTTTATCTGTACCATTCACTTTGTGAAATCCTAAATATATGTGAAATATGAAACAAACTGAAACTGAAACTAAATATAAGCCTATTGAACCTCAATTCATATTTGTAACAAAACACTGCCGTTGATGAGCTGAATAGCATTTTTCTGGCTTGCACAAAGATTTCCTAGTTTAAAGAAAACTGTACCCAACTTTGCATCGTTTCCGTGGATAACTTTCATTCATACATACAATTACTTAAACAGATTCAATTCTTAGGAAGAAGATATCATAAATTCGAACTTAGATCTAAAGAAAAGTAACTGCGAATGCGATACTCATTTTGCTAAAAGTGGGGGTAGGTGCAATCCCTGCTATATCAACCACCAAGCACTGTCCCCGTCTTAAAACAAAAATAGTAAAACAGATAAAGGAAGAAAAAAAGGAAAAAGTCGTAGAAGTTAATAACATCAGTTGTCTATCTGAGGATTCCCCTGTGACGTAGTAGTCTGTTCTGGGCACTCACCCCGATACTATGCAAATCGACACAGTTATGCGAACAATGTTCTACGTCATTGTGCATTATATTACAAGAACCTTCCCGAGCTCACGAGAGACGACAAGAAGAACTGTCACCGTGTACAGCACACACGCGCACTACGTACGATGTGTGTATATTAAAATTACCGGCGCCGCACGTACACCGGCCAGAATCTAAATACATTGAGCTGTATAGTGCAGTGCACATTGCATGGGAACTGATGCCGCTCTGTTTATTATGTCTGCCGATATCGTCGTTCACTGCACTGTGAAAGTTCGTATTATACCCGGATTACTATTGCTTTGCAGGCTACGTGATGTGTACACTGGGATATGATTAGCTTTGATTTTGGAATACATACGCAACAAAATGTCGACAGGATCTCCAAAGAAATCCAGCAAAACGCTCGCAGAGAAGGGACAGCATTTGGACCCAATCAACGTGTCGGAAACAGTGAGTAGTAATGCCGGTAGCTGCCCCAGTGAATGCAGGCAAACGTATTGCAGTACATTTACATGTAGTACTAGTAGTGAAGGCCTCGAGGAACAAGATTTAAAAAGTGCAGTTACAGAACAATCACCTACTTCAAATCACAGAGGGAATTCTCAAGCAGACGGAAATGAAGGGGCTGCGTGTTCTGATACAGTAGACTCGAAATACGTTGATGAGGATGTAGACGCAGTATTAACAAATCATACTGATACTGTTCCCCATGGCCATGGCAACTTCAAACTCGGCGCCGATAGCGTTGATCTTGATGATGCCGCTTTCAGTGCTTTCAATGTGACTGTTACCCCAGATGGATTTTTATCACCAGCGTCACCGACGTCGCCCACCAGTCCTGATCCCGACGGAGTACGGTCACCGCTGAAATCCTCAATGCGTGACCCTAAACGACCTCGAACGCCCCCAGGTACGCCTTCCCGGAAGTCGGTTCACTTTGCGGACGCGCTAGGGTTGGACTTGGAGACTGTCAAGACCATACTGCGAACAGAGTCACCACCTGACCTGCATGTCCATGTGGACGAGGAGAAACAAACAATATGTGCCAAGGTTCTGTCGTTGTGCTTCCAACAACCCGGTGGGAAGCCAGATTTCATGACTCGCCTCAATTCCTTGAATGTTTGCCTTGAAAACGTGGTTGTCCACGAATTCACCCTCATCGGTACCATCAAGGTGAAAAACTTAGGCTTCAACAAAGAAGTGCGAATTCGCCAATCGTCAGACAATTGGAGTTCTTACATTGACACTATGGCCATGTACGTCCAGGGTTCTTTTGATGGGCCTACGGATCGGTTCTCTTTTGGACTTTCTGGACCTAGGAGTATGGCCCCAGGAGCAATACTCAGTTTCGCTATCTATTACAAGGTAGCGGGACAAATATTTTGGGATAGCAATGGCGGACAGAACTACTCTCTTGTGTGTGAGGAAGTCAAGAAACTATGATATTTGCGGGTGATACTATCACTGATAGAAGGCTTCATCCTTATGCCAATCAAGCCATGGTAATGGCATTGGTCGAGCAGGTACAGGTCATTTAGATGGACTTGGGTGAAACGGTCAGAGCTCATATTATTAGGGAGTCGTACTCGTACAAAGACCCCAATTCCGAAAATGAATAAACTGCTTTTCAACGTACATGTAGGTTTTGATTTTGTTTATAAAGTGAAATAATGCTCAAGTATTGCATTCAGAGTGAGTTCTTCCTCTACATATCAGTAAACGAGAACTGTAACTATGCCAGCTAGCTGGTCTTTTGCATGACGATTGCTCTAAATCTTAGTCTACAAAGCATAACTCTACAGATCATAGTTTAGATTATTAAGAAATTCAAATTAAGTGGCTTGACTTGTGTAGAACATCTGAATTTACACTTAATTGTCGTATGTATTCAGAATAGATAAAACGTGGGGTCTATTTTGGCGTTTGCTGGTGAAAGTGGCTAACTAACATAATGTGTACATCATGTATTATATTAACTTCATATCTGCTATGCAAAACTAAACATCTTTGCTCATGATTGTGGCAATTGAGCATTAAGCTATCTGTACTGTTTTTTGCTATGCGAACTTCGTGATTTAGCTCCTTTCTAAAGTTTTCTCTTTCTTGTCAAACTTGCATACAATACACGTTTACTAGAGTTATAAGAAATGTTATGAAATACTGAGGGTGCTATTTAATATTTTGCTGTGATGAATATTGGAAAATGGAATTGTAAATGATAGCCTGCAATATTATCATACTACATGTCAGATCTTTTTTTCATAGCTGCATACCATTTATATACAGCAGTTAGTGTAAAGGTGTTTATCGATGATCAGTGTTGTATTCGGTGTGTTTTACATATACATGTACTCAACATTATCTTACTTATCTAGGGGCAAGAGTGCGAAGTCAAAATATCGGCCGATTTTCTATATCTACTCAATTGAATAATCCTAGATAACAAATCATTGATAAGTACTAAGTACTAGTATTTGAAGTCGCTCTATTAGCATCTCAAAACACATGGCAGCAGGAATTTTCCTCGTAATGTCATGTGTGTAGCATGTTAAGAAGTAGCAAAGGACAGCTGAAACTATCAGCTTGAAAAAAAAAATTAAAAAAAAGAAAAATTATAACAAAAACACGTTGTGGCTTAGGGCGATTTGTTCCCTAAACTCTTTCAAAGAATTCTGTGATGAATAAGACCTACCATTATGTGGAGGAGAACCAATGAGTTTTGATGCAAACATTTGTAAAGAACTTGATATGATAGCCCTCTGAGGTAGTTTTACAATTGTGACAATGACGCCATGTTCGTGTATAGAATGAGCTATGCATATTTGAGTAGTATATGCCTTGCATCTTCTTAGAAATATTTATTCCGTCTTTCTGAAATAATTCATAGTTGCAAGTCAGGATGAGGATACGTGTATGTTGGGTATTATTATATACCGGTAAAAAAAAAATCCAAAGATGTTTAGAGAACGTTTTGTAATTTTGTTTACTTTTGCCCATCCCCCAAAAGACACATTTATGCCTGTCATGTATTCCATAATTAGTTTGGTTTGAAGACAAGTTACTGTCTTGTTAAATCGCTAAAACAAAATATTAGATATTGTTGAGAAAGCTGCAGCTTTAGTGTGATTTTAAAGCCCGATATTTTCGCTGGCCATAGCTATTTCATTATTATATTTTCGCTGGCCATAGCTATTTCATTATTATATTTTCATTTCTATAAAAACGTACCCTTGTTTCGATGTATACGTTGCACCCTAATTAGATGTATTAACATTAGGCCTACATGCACATGCTTTCATTTTCCCAGTGCAAGATATTGTTAGTTGATCATTCAGTATATTGTTAAACCATGTATCAGTTGAAATAGAGATTAAAGTGATTTATATATATATTTTGTTCTATACATTTCAAATTTATTTATAACTTTGAGTAGCATTATTTTGCGTTCTAATATTTTTAAAGATGACTAGATACTCACTTAATATTATTGTTTGTAGAAGTTATTGCTGCTGTGTTCTAGTCAATATATCCAGTGCACTGAGAGAATTTATTATTCCAATTTCACATTTCAATCACCTTTGCCCGCTTCATAGTACTAACAGATTTTATTTATTGTAATATTTTATAGAGATTTATGAGGTAATTGACTTGAAGATTGGCAAATATGTATTGAAGTTGTTTCTATTCACTCAAAGTTAGTTTTGATATGAATCATACATGCTCAAATCCATATAAAAACATATATATTTATGACACTGAGATTTTGGAGTTATAAAAAACGCAAAATAGTGTCTAAACTCGGCAGAATATTTGTAGATATAATTATAGTGAAAGTGCTATTTTTCTACATACAATGATGAAGTAGATTCTAATAAAACGATTGGTTGAGAGGGGACATGTGACCAGGCATCTAATTTGTATCGCACGTAATCGGTCATTGGCACTTTCTAATGACCTCATAGTTTTTCGCGTGCACTGTACAGTATGACACAACATTTGAAATAATGTAATTTATAACCAATGTTGATGATAACATAGGAAAGCAACCTACTCAAATATAGAAGTTGTAGAAACTATGAATATTTTATTATATTATTTCAATTTGAAGAGTTTGAATTGATATGAAAAGGAATGTATTTCGAATAAAGAAAACAAAACGATAAGAATCAATTTCTTTGTACGGACCTGTCTACGAAATGACTATTTTGATATCCTAATTCTAAATGAGAATTTGTGTGAGTGTATTTATTGATATTTTTAAACTGTACTTATTCGAATGAGCTCTAACCTTCATGCATACAATGATATTACACCTTTTGTTTTTCAAGTTGTGCTAATTTGGTGCCACTCGTGTTGGTGTCTATTCCATGCATTTCGTGTATAGAATAAAAAAGTATAATTATTGTAAAGTGTGAATCGCAAAAAGGAAACCCATGTTCAACCCTAGATATCTTTATAATCCGTTTTAGCTTCATAGGTATTAAGCCAAACAAAAAGATACACATGCACCCATATTCTTATTTTGACAGCTTGGTCAATAAAATCTGGCCATAGACACTTTTGAAGAGGCATATATTTGACTGATTCATATTTGCATCTTCCTAAGTTTTGAATGAAATGAATGGTCAACATTAATTTATCTGAGTAGTTCTCAATTTGCATGAATTCATCCAAACTTAAATTAGTGAAAGTACCTTTCTCCTGAACACCACTTTTCTCAAACTTGGGTAAAGGCGATTTGGACGTGTTTGGTATTTACATGTTTATAATGTATACATGTAATATGCATTTGTTTGAATGGTCAATGCTCACCCACACATGAAAGTATTATGGTGAGCAGCTTATAATTAAAAAAGGCAGCATTCATGCTCAAACCATTTCAGCAAGATAACTTGGTATCAAAGATGATAATGGGCTTGAATATACATGTGTTATGTGTAGATTCCTTTTGTATACTCACGATGTACTCTATGCAGAGGAGTGAAGTGCACTCTTCCTGGAGTCATGGGATAAATTCGTTCCTTACTAAAAAGCCACTATACTAGCGCATCGACTTGGTTTCAAACCCGGAACCTGCCGGTTACGTGCCCATTGCTCTACTACTGTGCGATCTCCCCTCCTCCAAATTACAGTGAAATCCACTCTTAAGAAGTGGTTTAAAATGCTCGAATGAGAGTGGATTCCACTCGTTTTATGTGTGGATTTCCACTCCATAATGACGTGATCCCTCATTACTATGGCTCCCCTTTAGTGTAAGAGTGGATTTTCAAATCCTGTGCTTTTAGAGATTATGGTTACCAGGCAATCAATCTTTGTTGTGATGATGTTATTGTTACTTATTAACCAGAAAAAAGCAATTCTCTTGTAGGTGAATGCATGAAGGGTTACATGCATGATGTGAAGTATCTGGGAGATTTATCGTTGTTACTGAAGTGTTACTAATATTGCACTTCAGTCGAATAGAAGGAAATGCACCAACTAAGATTTTGTTTTGAACCATGTCTTGTGGTATTGTGTGTGTGTGTGTGTGTTACTGTAAAACCGGATTAAGCTATGTCCTTAATTGAAGAAAACAAAATAAGTAAAGAACTTTTATCAGCTCGTTAAAGGTACTATAGTTGACTTGCTAACAAGTTACTGTTTTAAATCTTCCCCCCAAAAATGTCATGGAAAGCAAGAACATATGGGCACTGTTTAGATTTCGTTGAAATTGGAAGATAACTTTAGTTCTTTCAAATTTATCGTATTACCGCGTTAGTTAAATATTTTCACATTTTCAATACTAAACGTTGTTCGGTTTTCAGGGAAGTTTCCACACGTCATTCACAGCCATCTCACAATGTAAAATAATGCAGTGAAAACTGAAAAGTCTAGTTTTTCATCCTGAATGATGATATTCACTTTAATCTCATGGATTATAGTAAATAGCATGATTGTATACTTATATGAAGTCTGTTCAGCATTATATTGTAATATGAAGTACTTTCAAAGACAAATATATGATAATGAACATTGTAGGGGTAGCTGATTTTCCTAAAATGTGACAATAACCTTGAAATAACGCAAGTCCGCCTGCCGACATAATGCAATACAATACAATGTAAACAATGGTAGCTGTAATAAAATTTCTTCCTAAAAATGCTGACATCATTCGACTATTAAAGGGGAAGTCCACCCTGAAATTAAATTAGTTTTAATAGGAGTAGAAAAATGAGAGAAACAAGTCAGTGAAAGTTTGAGCAAATTCCGATTAAAAATAAGGAAGTTAGGATTTTTGAAGTTGTGATCAATCAAACACAAATTGGCAACTCTATGACGTATCATGCGAGCTAAACTTCCATTTGCTCAGTACTAAAAAAATCTAAAATTTTCATTTTCCCTCAAGAAAAATTTCAACCATACATGCACCCTAAATATAATAATTGCAAATATGTTTCTATACTCCCCCTGCAAGGAACAAATATATATTCCGTCATCAATAACGAAGAAAACATGATTTTATGGAATATTATGCACAAAGCAAATGAAGGAGAGCTCGTATAATAAGTCACGGAGTTGCCAATTTGTATTTGATTGATCACAACTTCAATAATTCATAACTTGCTTATTTTCATTCAGAATTTGCTCAAACTTTCACTCACCTGATTTTCTTATTATTCTGCCTCTATCGAAACAAACTTATTTTGGGGGTGGACTTTCCCTTTAAGTGGGGGAAAAAAACTTTTGTCTTCATGACTCGGCGAAATATTTTGACAATGTGGCGTTATTTTCTATGAATAAAAGTGAAAAGAGAAATCAATGTAACTTACCGGTTCAATGACTGTTTTGTACTTGGTGTTACCACAAAAAACATACTTGTGAAGTTGTGATTGAATAACTTTAAAGTAGCGTGCCGTTTAGAAGTTATCATCCTCTTTTCTTTGCTTTCTTTACCCTACACCACCATCATGTTCTTCTTCACTTCTCTTTATCTCCTTTATATATAAAATGAGTTAGGGAGATCAAATAATGAGAAATAAGCTTTTTAAAGTTATTTTTATTTTTTTTAACAATCTACTCATTCAAGTTTAGTTCATTAATTTGAGGTTATTTGATATGAATGTTTTTATATACTGTATTTTACATTTGTAAAACATTGCCCAATTCGGCCTTGTAGGCCGCGATGCATTGTTGTTCTTTTATTCTCAATAAAACCATTATCTATCTATCTATCTATCTATAGTTTGCATACTGGTTGCAAAATGCATTGAAGATTGGTAGGTGTGGTAAACATACAATGGATTGTCTTGATATTAATTAGTTACTATTACACTAACATATCTTAATTTGTGAGGAGTAAATATCCAATTCGCTTGTTTTATTGTTTGTATTATTATTTTTTTTTTTTAAATATTTTTTTTAAATAATTTCCTGTTCAGTTGTACTATACGTAAGTGCAAACAATAACCATGAAATATTCAAAATAACTTCCCAGATTGCGCTGGATGAATCACAACTTGAACCATTCATGACTCTTAGAATCAACCTTGTCATGGGATTTTTGTTTATAAACTTTCACTTTTTTTTTTATTTTTTTTTATTATGCTTCAATTTTTGTATTGTTACAAACCATGTGTATTGTCAGGGTGGATTTCCCCTGTAACGATACGTCCCTTGGTGTGCGAGAGTAAGTATACATAAAACCGCATCAACCAAAAGATGGAACCCTTTCCATTACGAAAAAAGTGGACTTATGACTGAGCAAATACTGGTTTAGTTAGCTGATTATAGCATTTCGGTTATCAATCCAAATACACATTTTTTCTTTTAAATGGCGTTTTGATTAATCTTTCATTTTGAAGAAGGCCAATTTAATAACTGCTTGATCTCCTCTGGTCACTTTCAAAGTCAGTCATGTTTATATATAGAAACGACTCTCTTCTTTTCCAATGCAATTTGAATATATTATATTTCCTCATATTCACGTATACGTGTATACTGTATAGGTGGTCTTTGGTCTGCCGTACGATATATCATAATTCGTTATGTGTACACGAGTTGTTCTTTGCCAGGCGTGTGCGCTACGGGAAAATGGCGCCTGTTATGAAAGGTGGAGGCCCGAGGGTATATTATTATTGAGCATTAACGTTCTTACGTCTTTAAATAGCCTGCTCCATATCAGCTAATTTTAAAGATACTCAATAGGCTAAAGGTTAAGAGATAGTGGTGAATTTTCTTATTTTTTTAAAAACATTCCTATGTAGAAGAATATAACAGCAATATTAAATGGAAATATCTACTCTTGATCAAATTGCTCATATTACAAATATTACTTATAAAATGACTAAAAGCTTTGGACCAAATATTCATGCCATAATTATAATTGTGTAGTCCCATAAATCAAAATCTGTGTCCAGTACTTTTTGTCGCGATTGTGTCCATTTGTATAATGTTGGATGCTTTCCACTACCTCATTTACACATATCGCACAATACATATCTAAAAATGACTTTAAGACGATTTTTTTTTTTCTTCATAGTTGTTTATGTCATATATGTAACTAAATCCAATAGTTGCATAGCAGTGAAGTGAAACTGCGAAGTCACTGACATTAGGAATATTTCCTGTGTAAAACTTGCTAATAAACATTGTATAAAGATGACTGCGCAATTATACTGAATTCACGAGAACGAAAGTAAATAGTGGTCATATTTTGCACAATAGAAAATGTGTGGACTTTCCCTTATTGCCTTTACAAATACTTATAAGACGTATAACGAACTGTATTGAACTCTGGAATGTATAAGTACTAATATTCTAAAGCATGTAAGCTGCTAAGATTTAAACCCGACGCTGGGATTAGGCTTTTGACCAACATCGGGTTTAACAAAGAATGTTGGTCAGAGGTTTAAAAAAGGGATCCGGTAACTTTGTCTCAGATTCTGAAACATAATCCCGGATTTAGCTCATGCTGCAATGATAATTATAAACCTTTAGGTCAGTAAGGAACCCCATGAATCTCAGGCCGGTCGCCTGTCTGGTTATCAAGATATTTATGATTGGAATTACAAATTTTGAAAACCGTTTGCCAAACGGTTTTCATACCAACAGTCTATAGGGGAAAACGAGTATGGTAAAACCGGTCACTCACAGATTTTTACTTTTTGAGGCACTTCTTGATCATTTTGAGG